TCCCATCTGTACCAGTGTACATCCTCTGGTCTAGCCAGACTTGCAAGGTCGAATTCGAATCATGGTAGTGGGAGCAGGGAGGAAACATTTAGGAACTAGAGGAAAGTTGTATTTCTCATCATTGTTACATCGCACCCTGACTGGCTCATCTCCTCCCCGAGACCCCTCTGCAAGGGGATTTCCAGTGGCCTACTAATGGGCTTTGGATCTCCACTCCACACTCCCCCCATCATTCACTATGGTAAGATTTTTTGTTCTGATGATGCCTTATACCTGATCCCTTCGACACCTCGTGGTTGCATAGGCTGGTGTGCTTCTTCCATGTGGGCTTTGTTGCTTCTGAGCTTGATGGCCGCTTGATTACCTTCAAGCCTTTAAGACCCCAGACGCTATACTTTTGATAGCCGGGCACCATCAGGTGGTGGTTGTAACAGAAATGTATTTTCTCACCAGACAGTAGAAGTTGAGGAAGACACTGAACTTCTGCACCCAGGCAGTCTTCTTGGGGTCTGGCATCTCTCTCAAGAGACTGACTCAAAATACACTTATTCCCAAAGGGGGTTATAGCCACAGGCATAGAGGTTGGGGCTTTACAACACATTTTGAAGGGCACAGTTCAGTCCATAAGACTCACTGTCCTTCAGAACAGAGATCGGATTGTTCTCTTGAGTTCACTAACCATTTCTAATGCAATATTTTTGTGATTTGGGTAGAAGTTGAGAGTAAACTGGTTTTCCATGCAGGAACTCACGTTTTATGACATTGATTGCAATTCCCACAATGTAAAAGCACTCTTCCCCTCTCCTCCCCAGGTAAAGGCTGCCCTTTTGATCTTAAGATGATTGCTGTAAGGAGTGCTTACTACTTCCCCACTTAAGGCCCAGCCTCCATCAGATCTGTATTTTTTGTTCCACATATTTCTCCCTATCCAGACTTGCCTATTGTGACCACAGGCAGAGCAGTCAACAGGATTCACATACTCAATGAGTCCTTTTTACTAATGTTGCCATTCATCCTCGTCCCAGATGGGGAGAGACCAATAGCTACCACTTAGATGGTTGCTTACAAGCCCTCAGTTCCTACTCACCAAACCAGGGCATAGAACATTATTTTCCAGTGTTCCAGTGCCTAAGATATGGTCTTAAGTCACCAGCGAGTCATTCCCCTAAGACAGTGGTTCTCAACCTTCCTAATGCCACGATCCTTTAATACAGTTTCTCATATTGATGACCACCCCCAACCATAAAATTATTTTTGTTGCTACTTCATAGCTGTAATTTTGTAATGTTATGAATTGGGCGACCCCTGTGAAAGGATCGTTCAACCCCCAAAGGGGTCATGACCCACAGGTTGAGAACTGCTGCCCTAAGACTTTTGCTACAAGATGTTTTCAGAACACTTTCCCAAACCATAAATTCTAATGTACTCAGGGATCTAGTTCCATTCACCTTCTGGCCCTTGTTCAGCTTGACTGTCTATGTAATCTCCAGTCATATATCTCTGCTGTGTTCAATCATGTAGTGCGTTTTCAGATAATTATATTTTTACTGTTTCTCATCCTCTATATCTAAACGTATATTTAAATAGCAGCTTTAAAGTTCTTGTCTGTGATTTCCAAATGCCGGTCACTGCAGGGCCTGAACTGCGTGCTTTCTCCTTGATTGTAGGTCACATTTTCCTACCTCACATCCAACAATTTTTCACTGTATAATGGACATCTTGGTGGCATAATTCATGCTCCCTCTATCTTCCTTTAAATATAAGAGAGTTTTATTAGCATGAGACTTTTTCTGTCTGACCTTTGTCTAAGAGCTTGGCCTTCTAGGGTTCCAAACATTTATACACTTTTCAGGAGAAAACCCCAAAACTCAGCACTCCCTGGCAATGAAAAAGTCTTGTATGATAGCCCATAATCCAAGACAGTGTTGGGTAATGCTTTTACATTCCCCCGATAGCTGGATCCTGTGCCACTTACAGGGCACAGTGTCATCCATTTTGAGAAACCCTGCTAGAGCAAAGGTTGGGGAAATACAGCCTTTTGTTGGTGCTGTTTTGCTGCAACATAATCATATCTATTTCTCTCTGGATGTTTTATTTATTTTGCAAATAGATGTATTTTATTGTGAGCTGGGTGAAGGTTTCCAGAGCACATAAGTTTTATATTCAGTGATTCATACAAACTCTGTTTCATCTCATTACAATCTCCTCAGTGTAGCGTCACCCATCCAACCTTATCCTTTTTTCCTAACAGTTTTATTGGCACATAATTTACATATCATACAATTGAATCGTTCAATCATATCAAGGGGAATTGTACAATCACCACATCTCTTAGAGCATCCTGCTGGTTAAATCACCTTTTAAAATGAGCTCTGCACTCACAATCACTTCTAGTGCTCCCTCTTCCCTCCCACCTTCATTATTTACTCCCCAAATCCCCCTCCCTCCTTATCGCCTATCTCCCACCCCCGCATTCCCTTTGTAGCAGTTATATCATTATACAGCAGTTATATCATTATACATCCACTCTTCCTGTGCTTCATTCATGGCCTTCCTCGATACCTTCATGAAATGATCACTGAAGATAAGGGTGCTACAGCAACGGGTGAATCAGTCAAAATAGTGTCTGGGGTCTTAAAGGTGTGTATTCAATCAGCCATCTAAGCAAGGAAGCAACTAAGTCCACACAGAAGAAGCACACCAGCTTGTGTGAGCCAAGGATGACAGTCACAAAAGTCAAATATGGTGAAAACTATCAGAGCTAAAATTAGGAACACCCAATTTGTAGGCGATGGAGGACAGTGGAAGCCCAAAATTCATCTGCAAAGTATCTAGTCAGACTGAGCAGCTGGCAGATCCTCTCTAGCCAGAGGCAAGAGTCCCCGGACAGCCCTGCTATCAGGCAGAGGCCACTGTAACCTTGATGATGCTGGATGGAACGTGACACTTGGTCAGTCAGCCTCCCCATAGACATGAGCTGAATTTGTACTGGGTGCAACCATCTTAGTGGTTCTGTGACAGAAATGTCCTCCCTGGCTTCTCGAATGTTGACGGGGGTGTTCTCCCACTGACCCATTATTTGTACTTTTGTCTTTAGACGAATATGATCTTATCCTTACCCCCTTAGTGAGACTTGTTCTTTATTGTTTTCTGGATGCTATGAAGGATCCAGTGACGCTGTGGTCAAGTGTTGGGAGGTGAAAGGTATGACAGAGACCATACAGGTCACCCAGGTGTCAGCCCCTGCTAGAGTAGTAACTAAATGCCTGGAGTTTTCAGTGAGCTCTCTACTCTGACTGCTCTGGACTCCAAAGACCCCCAGGATCACTATGCAGTTCTAGACCCAATGCACAGAATCCTCCGATTCCATCCTGCATATCCCAGCTAAGAGCCCTTGATGGGTTCCCACGACTCCCTTTTCTCCCAGAACAGCTATTCTCCCGGGAGTCAGTCTGCCTGTGATGATGCTGGAAAACGCCCCAGACAGAAACCGAGTATGATCAGTTTGGAGGGATTACTAAGACCATGTGTTTCCCTTTACTCAGGGACCAGTCCTCCGTTCCCTGTTCAATGCCTAGAAATACCTCCCCGCATATACTGTCTAGTTTTATAGTTTGTGGCAAGGGGGCAAATCTAGTAGTTATGCTGATTATGGGCTAATAAAAGCTGCTTTTGTAAAATTAAATATTCTAAATAACAGAATACTCTAATAATTCTTAGTTATTTGACACTCACGGAATTCTCTGCACTTTTTAGGTCAAATATGTCTAATTCCCTTAACTGTCCTTTATAATCCAAAATACGTACTCCGAGTCCTCACGGGGGAGAGATGCACAAGCTAGCTCAGCCGGTCCTTTCCAAGGAGCTCGCATGCGCCCCACCCCTTCCCCATCTCTGCAACCTTCCCGGAGTACAGCCTGGCGTGCTGGAGGGAAGATGCGTAGAAGGCAGACTCTTCTTCCTCAGTCTGTCCCATACCATCAGAGGGACTTCCGACAGGCCTCAAAGTGCTTCTCCACGTCTTTCTTCTTCTTAAACATCAGTAAAGGACATGCACATTCTTAGTTTAATGTCATTGGTTTCAGAAAGTTTCTTTCGTTGTAGAGCGACTTCTTTGGTCCTAAGGCTTTCAGCCATAAAGACTGTTCAAACCTCATTCCTTGCTCCTTTGCTCCAGTAGCTAAGTCTCCTGACAGTGCAGTCTTCTCCTGAGTCTAGTTACTCTAAAATCTTAGGCGCACTCAGGAGCAGCGCCCGCGGGGAAGCTTAGAAGAACATCACAAACACCCAAACATGATACGAGAGGAGGAATGAGATCTTTAGATGAGACCCCTCAACATCACTTCAGATTACTCGGAGCTTTCCATACAACTGCATAGGTATAATTTAAAAGAAAAAGGTTTGCCATGTCTTCGCTGTGACAACCGTTGGTCCTGGTGTAAAGACCGCCAGTACCCGCTAAGCTGTAGGCACTGACCCAGGAAGACTTTAAAGTGGAGCGTGAAGAAGAGGAGCGGGCTCTCCTAAACGTTGGGCCAGGAGCACAGTCACATGTGCTTGTTCTTTGGCAGGGTAGACCAGAGGCCAGCAAACGTGTTCTGTCCAGAGCCAGAGAGCACATGTTGTAGGCGTTACAGGCCACACAGTCTCAGGAGCAGCAATGGAAACAGCTATAGATGAGGCGAAAGTGGCTGCACTGGCCATCTTATAGTTAAATATATTCACAAATTAACAAAACAGGCAGCTAAGATTTGGTCTATTGGCCATAGTGTGCTGACTCTTGATCTATTTATGTTCTCGAATTTATAAAACTCACAAGGTATTGAAAAGAAAAGACTGCCATTTTTACTGAGTAATTATTTCTGCTTGTCTCGAGACACAGCTGCAACTGAGTATTTCTCCTAAGTGCCCAAAGTAATAAAGAGAACCGCTTCTACAAGTCACATAATCATGCAGTGTGTCAGACTAACTTCACAACGAACCCTCCCTTCTCTTGACAGATAAAGGCTGCCTGGGAAGAATGGTGAAAGGGGGCCTGGATTCCTAACGGGCCCTGGGGCAGGCAGGCCCGCGGCCGAGTCACTCGGACGTGCTCTCGGTGCCTTCGGACGGACGATGCTACAGTAGTCTTCGCCACAGATGTCCTCCGCTTGGTCAAGGCTCTTCATAACATGGGCTGCATGAAATCAAAGCAAGCTTTCCCATTTCCTACCACATTTGAGAATGAGATGCGACATGTAAGTGAAGAAAGCTTTATGCCGGAAGAGAAAATTATACCAAGGCCACCTTCTCCAGTTGTCAAAGAGAAAGCAGACACCCCTCTGGTGCCCAATATGGTGGTCCTCGAATATGCACACCGCCTGTCCAAGGAAATCTTGAATGACGCCTTGCAGCAGTGGGCCTGCAATAACATCAAATACTGTGACATTCCATACATTGAGAGCGAGGGGCCTTGACGCTGTGGGGTCATGGTACTTTCTTAAACTATGGCTATAGTTGGTGCTAGTTTAAATACATGACACAAAAGCAAAACCGGTGTGAATAAGTACAAGATATCTCGATGTGTTAAAAAAATATCATAACTTCCTTAGTCTAGGAACACAAGAGGACGTGTTTGAAGGAGTTCCATGTTGATATCGATGTCTACCTTCTTGACCTTGGACGTTCACATGCACCGCAGTAATAAGCTACATGTCACACCACTTTCTTCTTGAGGCAGTACCAACATCACCAAAGAAAATGCTTTTACAGAGTGCCCCAATTTCCAAATGGTTATTTTAAAGGTAGACCTTTCAAATAACTCCTTAACTTTCACAAAAAGGCGAAAGATCACGGAAAGGGAGTGGCACTCAAGCCACAGCGATGGTCAGCGGGTCTGGTTTGCTAACATTATTCAGATCAGGCATCAGAGAGCAAGCTGTGTAGCAAATGTGCAACTTGAAACCTGTCCTTAGTAGGTAATGATTTTTGTACACGAAAAAGCATAACTACTACTTTGAGTCTCAGGGCCCTCACTGACCACAGCTCTTATTGGGTGACTCAGACCTTGTGTCTTAAAAAAATATGATTTACAGAAACCATAGTATTCCATAAACGTCTACTGCATTGAATTAAGCCACCCAATGAAACGATGTAAGAAAACAAGTATGGGCATGTTTCATAAACAGCAATACAGTAAAGCTTAAAACAGCAGAAGCCTCGCCTGCCAGGTAAAAGACAAAACGTTTGTCTCCCAGGCACAGACAGCAACCCACTGGGCACGCACTCCTCATTCTTGTGGACTGGTGGGGCAGCCACCATGCAAACTACAGCAGCACCAGATGACACATAAGGATTTATGGCTGCCTTGCAGAACAGAAAAAATTAATCACTCCTCTAAGGGAAAAAGTCTGCACATGCTTCAAAGACTATTTGTGCATTTTGTTAAATGGCAACACAGTGCCCCGAAAGCAGTTACAGTCATTGTATTTGCCACACTGCTTCGAGGCGATGTCTCTCTTACTGTCAAAATACTACCCCCATTTACAAACAAAACGAAAAGGATTAAATACTGTTTGAGAATTCAGTGGTAACAGAATATTTGGGAGAGAAGGGAATAAGATACTAAGATATAATGTACAGGCAATCTGGCACTAGCTCTCTAGAATTATCTTTTCATCAAAATTTGCTACACATTAGGTTTAACTGAAGGGAATTCCTGAAGCCCTTCACTTAATATTGGGTCCTTTTATTAAAAAACAACATGGATCCTTGTCACTGAAAGCAAAGTCCCTAGACCTCTTTATTGACATAAATATGCATGCAGCCTTGTAAGCAGGCAAAAGGCTACCTCTAGTTTTAACAATTACTCCATAATCCAACAAAACAAATTCTACAAGTTGCATGGCAAGGAAGCAGTTCTCCAAAGTGAGCAACGTGCCATCTTTTAGTTGCCTTTGGACCCCTCCTTGACCATGAACGTCTCAGAGTTCCAGGAACCGTCTTTTCCTACTTTACTTAGTCTTACAGCTTACCTAGACGACCGACCACCATGCCTGTTCATCCATGGGCCTCGCAGAAAACTTTACATTTCCAGTTCTGAAGAGAAATTTGGGTTGAATGAAAAGAGCATAGATGTCTTTTTCATTCATTATATGTTTTACATCATTTGTTATTTATTAATCATTAGTGTTAGGTGCCTTCATGTCCGTCCAACCCACAGCAGCCCTGTGGACGACGGGACACCCGGCCGGTCCTGTGCCATCTCCAGTTACTATGCTTGAGCCCACTGTTGCAGCCACGGTGTCACTCCGTCACTATTAATAACACTCTGGTGAGAAAACAAAAGCATATAAAGCTCTGTATCACCCTACATTTTTTAGGCTCTGGCTACTTCTAAATATTATAACTTCATGTTCCTCCTCTGCTCTGGACCCCAATTTCCCAGGGGTATAACAGAGATGCTGCCAGATGCCTGTCGAGTAGAAGCCTAATCTCCGTCACCATCCTTTCCCCAGCACTCTGGTAGTAGTTTGTTTTTAAGAGAAAGGGCACGGTGGCAGTTCTCTCTCGACCATTCCGACACGTGCCCAGACCCTGCAGCAGCTCCCTCAGACCATCCAGGGGCAGCAGGATGAGCCTGCACCAGTGCGACACAGCCCAGCCAGGGGACGTGGTGGGGCCTCCGTGCGGCAGAGGAAACGCGCTAGTTTCTTACGACTCCCACAGAGCCTGCAGTCTGGCACCAGTGAACCTTGAGTCCCTTTCGTTTGCCTTATCCTTTGCAAACTGCCTGTGACAGTGAACACTTGAAACACAATTTCGAAGGGAACAAAAATGAGTACCATCTTAGTCCCACAGGAGTAATTTGTGTCAAATTGCCTTATTAGTTAAAAAATAAACACATGGAATAAAGTAGCATGATACTCATTGTATTCAATGTCATTGATATTTTTTAAGTTGGGGGGGACTATACTTTGGTATTACATATGTTTAGAAATTAAAACCTACAGTTGCTTTATAGTAGCATTAAGGAACAGGGATTGAAAAACAAATTTCTAAAGAACATGTTTAATTATAATGCCCTCACACTACACTGTATTGTTTAAACATTGGGGTATGTTTTCCTTTGAGCTATGGGCACTGGCCCAGAAACATTACTTGTATCGTAAATCTTCTTCCCCCTAAGACCTAGCGATGAAGTGGTAACCCCCTCCCCCATTTTTATTTATGAAAATATTTTTGTAACTGTGCAATAAAGTTCAGTTGCGATAAACTAGTTCTGGATTTTTTAAAGTAACCACTAGAAAACAATTTTTTTATAAGATTGAGTTTTCGATAAAGGGTAAGTGCACATCAAGAAACCTCCCAACCCAGTGCTGCCCAAGCCCACAAGTCCAACATTAGCCTGTATGTCCGACACCAATCCACAAAGTCCTCCTCCATCTCACCAAACACACGCAGCAGATGCCGGCTGTAGGAGGAAAGCCGAATCAGTGAACGTGTGAGCATCTCAGCGCTGGCAGGGGTCTCCACACAGCTGCTCCAGCACCCAGGGCTGCATCGGGTAGGTCCATGTGGCTTCTCTTCAGGGATGTCTTGCAGGAAGTCAGCCTTGCCAGCTGAAGCAGGGAACTGCTAAGGCAGCTGCAACCGGGTCCAACCATCAGAGAGCAAGAGACCCAGGAACACACACTAGAAATTTTTGTTAAACTTTTAACACAAGAATTTTCAACATTTTTTTCATAACAAATATACAGTGAATAAAAGTTGATATATACAAATAATTTCTTGGATTACTCAGGCCTATTACATACAAGTGTAGTGTGTCCATTGTCTTGGCATCCTTATTCCAAACCTATTCTCTGATGTTTTGGGAAGAACCACCTACATCTCAAAGCAAGAACTGGGAAATAGCAATACTTTCCCACCACATTTCCTCATCTTGGGGAAGCGTGGAGCGCGTCCGTCTTTGGGGTCTTTTTCCGTTCTGCTGTGTTCTGACAAACCTGACGTTCTCAGCATTCGAAGGATGGAGGAGAAAGGAGGAGGGAGGTATACCAAGTTACGAAACGCATGATCAGGGGCCTTTCAAAGTGATTCCTGCCCACCTTTTGAGGAGCACCTGCACTTTATAAGTGCCCATCGTTTGAGCAGTGCAAACGACTGCAGCCAGGTAGACGGTGAACCAAGATCGCTCTTCAGATCTACTGTCCTTTTCCCGATGCGACCACCAGGCACACGATGTCAATGGCAGAAAGCAGCGTGGTCCTGTCCTAGAGACTGGAGCTTCCCAATCCCCCATCCAACCCGAGAACAACTACAAATGGAAACAAATACGCTTTCTGAGAGGAGGAGATTCTGCTTCCTTTAGGAAAACGCTTGAGACTAATGGCAGAGAGAAAGAACTTTATTAAAACCTTTCTCATCACCAGGAATTTCCAGTGTCATGAAAGGAACACTTGGAGTTCTATGTGAAGAAAATTGCATTAACAGAAGAATAAAAACTTTTTCAGTCCATTAATTTTGTTAAATTTATAAACACACCATATGTTATTTAATAAACACGTAAGCCACCGCCCCAAGACAAAACACAAAGTTCCCATTTCAGTTAGAGATACTGACCCAAGAGAATCTCAAGCCCTTTAAATCTTTCCATCTTCAAAAATAGGTGTGGGCAAACGCTGGAACGAGCCCGCCAGTACCAGACCTCGGGCTTTGCAGGCCGCTTGGCGTCTGTTGCAGCTACTCAGCTCTGCCCGCTGTAGCACCAAGCAACAGACAGCCACGAACAACGAGAGCCAATGACGCTGCTGACAAGACACTAAAGTTTGAATATATTTCTATTTGTCACAAAAGAAGCCTTTGATCCCCTCACCCCGCATCCACTTAAAAACATGGAGTAACTATTTTAGCTTAACTGCTGTATCAAAATGGGCAAGACCAGGTTTGGCCTGCAGGCCACAGTTTGCCATCACCTGCTTCAAAACACCAGCTTCAAAGGGAAGTCACCTCAAAGTTTCAGATCATTGCTTCCCAGAGATTTAAAGTAACTGTCCACATCTTCTTCTGTAACTTCTTTTAGATCAGCTGGTTTCCACTTCGGACTCTGGTCTTTATCTATTAAAACTGTCAAGACATAAAACTGTTAACACATCTTGTCCTGGGCTCACTGGCCTCCTGACAAAAGCTGCGTTATGGTGGCTGTGGTGTAGGCACGACTCACCAGCTACCCTTACAACCACCTTGGGTGGCAGCATATTTTCTATAGCACATTTTTTACTGGAAATTAAAAAATGTTTATACAACTTCAGTTTTTCTTCTAAATAACATCCCCAAGGAACTTACATTCTTAGATGTCAATATGCTGATGATGACTAGTGTGGACATTTTCTATTCTAAGACAGATGTCTCTCACTTTAATAAAGCTTACGGAACTAACCCAGGGATTTAACTGTTTAAAAAAAAAAAGTTTTCTTCCATTCAAACAAAATAGTAAATGAGTTCTCTGTGATGCGGCACAGCTAAAGCCAGAGGAGATGGGGAGGGGGGCATGGTGACAGGTCCACAGCTGCCTCCAGGCTCCTTCCTCCTCGGGGCCTACAGCTCTGCTGAGTCCTCTGGTTCCCACAGCTCTAAACGGAGACAACAGACCACCTCCGGGCTATCATACATGCTCTCTCTCAGTGCAGCCCCAGCCTCCCCACAGGAGTCTGAAGCAGTCTGACCTCTCCGAACAAAAGGGGGCAGATCCATTTCCTGGTTGGGATATGGGGGAAACTGCGAGAGGGGGTGCAGGATTCCTGTTCTCAACTATGCGGGAGTCTACAGTTATCTCAAAGCAAAAACATTATAAAAGAGAAGAGGGCTATAGTTGGTATGGTTGAAGTAGGTAATTTCAATCATGATTAAAATATGCATAAATCTTGTAACGAATAGAAATATTTAAACAGACTCCAGAGTGAACAACAACAACAAAATCCACATCTAATCGAGCATCAAAGACTAAATAATTAAAGCCGTCTGAAAGCAAGAGGAAAGAAGGCTGCCACGGGAGCTGAGCTGCTCCTGATCTCTGCACACGCGAAAGGTTTGGCTCGCCTTTCAGATCAGAAGTGATACTACGCACTAATATTCTGACCCCTGCCCGTTTGAAAGCCTTATCTCCTGGGCCGGGTAAACAAAGGGACATTCTTTCCACAAGAAGGCCTTCCCTTTGAGCCTTCTGGCTAAACTTATTTACCTCCCTGAGATTTCACTGAGGGGAGATTTTATGTATATCTATATATATATCAAACTTGTTACTTTATTTCAAACTCCCCACCCAAACTCAGGGCGATGTAAAGTTCCTGCCATTTAGGCAGCCAGGCTTTTCAGGTCTCACGAGGAACCCACTCAATTTCCACTTGGTAACTCTAGCTCTGCTGATGAATATGTTCTCCATTAAAAGGTGACTTGACAAAGCACCTGCTTTAGGAATTGGGACTCTTGATTATTACTTCAATGCTGGTGCAACTCTCATCTTTAAAATCATTCTATTCATCTAAAAGAAATGTTTTAACCTTTTCATTTTTAGCTTAAGAGTAGAGTCATAGCATATAATAAACTCTAAACACTTCACTTTACCAACATAACCCAAGTAGCACCAAACCCAAAACCCAAACTCACTGCCACTGAGTTGGCCCCAAGTCATAGCAACCCATTGGGGCAAGACAGATCTGCCCTGTGAGCTGCTGAGACTGACTTCGGGGTACCCTCTCTCCCCAGGAACACAGGTTCTCCTAAAGTCGGAGGTCTCGGCTCTGGGCCACGGAGTAAGAAACGTGCAATAGTGGAGCACTGTGCGTTTACTTGGTTTCAGTTAAAAACACAGCCATCTCTCTGGCTCAAGTCCATGTGCTTTCTGAAGAAGTTTGAGCACAGGGCCCTAATGACTGTCATGAGAGAATTCTAAAACAGCAGTGGCTGCTGCTTATCAAAGCTTAGGGTATAGAGAATATCACCCTCATATTCACATAAGGTGTATCTAGGCACACACTATATTAAAGTGATCAATAAAAACATAAGATTAATGTGCAAAACACATGCAGATGGAAACAACTCACACTATAGATACGAGGGGCCTTTAAAATTTGTGGGAAAATTATCTTTTCATTCCATTTTTCCATAAAACAAGTTAGCAAAATCAGCCACAACATTTGCTGTTTCTAAGCATGCTGACTTTGGAGAGGGTCAGCAAAATTGGCAAGCCTTAAAAAGGATGTCAACGATGTCAACAGATGGTCCTAACTAGGCCGTATGGGTCTCACGCAGCACTGTTCAGTGTTCTGGTGAAGGAGAGAAGGGGACGGGAGGGCGTGGCCACTGTTGGGATTGTGCTGGGCGGGAGGTACCAGGTGGGAGGGGAGGGTGAGGCGTTGGAGGGCTCTCTGCAAGGAATGAATGTGTTCAGAGGTTTCCACAGCGAAATGAGTTTACACACGCGTGTGGCACTTATCAGAGGCAGTCCAAGGGAGCAGGGTGACCTCTTACATGTGGATTAGGGAGCAGTCACCAGGTTATGGGAACTTTAAATAGTAGCTTCAAAGACTGATCTCCACTTACATCGCAACTGAGAATGAGCACACGCACACAGCAATCTTTATGAAAGTGCTCACTTTGATGCAGTATCATTTCTGATTAAGAACATATAACCCACAAACCCCGCTCTCCTTACAGCCAGGAAGGAAGCCCAGCTACTTGTCACTCACCCGCTCTAACGCCCTCGTGAAAATCATGGCCTCCCTGGAAGAAAAGAAGATTACATGTGGGCATTTCTCGGCATCCTTGGTCCTGGTGGTCTCACTCCATCTCGCCGCAGTTCATGGCACAGCCTGAACCAAAACACTAAGACTGGACCACCTCTGAAAACCCACTCTCTGATCACCATCCCTTCTTGCTCTTCTGCTGAGGCCCACTGATCCTACCATGCTCTCACACCGTGCCTCGTGTCACTGGTCAGCCAGTTTCCCCAAGTCACTTTCCCGGAATGTGCCCTCTTCCTTAAACTGCCTACCTTCCTTCATTCTGGCCCCCAGGGAACTCCCTTCGCCAGCTGGACTTGGCCATTTACCACCGATTCCCCTTGAGCCCAGGCTCTCTAGCATTGTACTAGGTACTTGGTATGTGGGTTCACTGAATCCTTACAGCTCTTTCCTTATGACAGTCCTCATTCACAAATGAGCCGATTCAGATTCAGTGTTCCCATCTTGTGCAAGAGCATGAGGACACACGTGAACAGTGGCTACGGTCTCTTCTGAACGCCACACGCAAAGGCCCTGCTTTGTCACAGGCCTTCGACCCGGTCTGGCGCAGGGGCTCCGCACACCTCACGCCTGCCACCTGTGGAGTTTTCACAGTAGAATGGCATCGACTTTCCATTTTGCCCTTTACACTTCTCACTCGTTTCACATGTTCTTCCATGTGCATCCATTACTTTTACGACTGGAAAATTAAAAAAATCAACTTACCATACACGCTTGGCTCATCCGATATTCCATAATTAGGACGTCGCGCAGCGTCTTTGAAGACCCTTCCGTGAGCTGCTTCAGGGTGATCTTCAGGGAAGTCGGAGACATCTTACTAATTAGCTATCAGAAGGGGGGGGATTAGTTTTAGTCTAATAGTTTCTAGTTAATAAATTGTTATACACACACACACACACACACACACAAAATATCACAGTAAAGCATGCTCCTTAACAGTACTTTTATATGCCAAAATCTTGTAAGAGAGCTTTAGGCTAGTTTTGTCAAAGTACAAACCAACTTTTCTAATCTTGTTACATAAACAAAATAGATCATTCCACATTCTAAGTGTATAACTTAAAGAGTAATAAAAGTGCCTATCTTGAATTATAAATAAATCAATTTACCTTATCCTTCTATAAAATCTTTCCCTCTCTTAAATTTTATTTTATTGCTGATAGACACAGGAAAATGTACACCAGTTCAACTCTGTCGTCACGGACCCTTCCGTGGTACAGATTGCAGTCTGAAAGTTGTCTGACCAGAGAGATTCCTTGGCTGCACTGCTATGCCACAGCCCTCTGCGTTGAGAGGTGCTTTCCTCTCTGTAAAGTGTTAGTCTCAGAAACCCATGGGGCAGTTTTACTTTGTCCTATAGGATCACTGTGAGTCAGAATCAACTAATGGCACTGAGATTTTCTTTTTTAAGTTGCTATGGTTCCAAGACATGCATCAGACTGAGACTGCAACAGCTGCTGCAGGAGTGCCCCTGCAGGCTGGACATGCCACGCCCAGACTCCCCTTTGCAACCACAAAGTGCCCGTATTCTGTGGTACAATGAATGACTATCCCAAGATTTAAGCTTCACTTTTGAGTTCAATTCCTTCTATCAAGAGTCTACAGAAAACCTAAAGCAATAACCATGTTAGCAGTGAAATATTAGAAGCTTTCCCTGGCCCTGGGGAGAAGACAGGTTGGATGGCTCCTATCGTTACTTCTACTAAACATTTTACTGGAATTCCTAGCCAGTATAGGGAGCTGGCAGGGCTTGGGTGGAAAGGTAGAAACACCATGGATATGGCAGGAAAGAAGGGATGGAAGAGAGGAGGAGCAACAAGATAACGTTACTAGAAAACCCAAGGGAACTTGTGGGATGAGTTGAGCAAAGTCATTGGATACAAGGTTAATATACAAAATTTAATCTCAAAACATGTTTCTATGAAGCAATCGAAAATGAAAACTTTAAAGATCATTTAAAATCATATCAAAAAATAAATCTCCTGAAGAATGGGTAAGTCCTCTACACAAAAAATTACAAAACATCAAGAGAAGTTTAAGATGATTTAAATATATAGAGAAGCACACTATGTTGAGGTTAATGAAGATGTAATACTGCTTTCCTTCTAGACATCTGGAATTTGGGTCCCCCCCACCCCCACAGTCAAAATCTTAGGCACTGAGTCTCCATGAAGCTTCCTGGAAAGACAACAATTTACCATGTAGTATTTCACCTCTACTGGAGGAAGTGCACACACTCTGCGTGACTTCCCTGGCAAGGACTGCTGGGACGTGGACCTAGTTTCTGCAGCCCCTCCCCCGAGTGTGTTTCATGCGTTGCCATTTGGTTGATTTTGCTTTGTACCCTTCCGTGGTAGTAAATCATCACCATGAGCACCGTCCTACTCATGCGAGTGCTGGGAGTCGTCCGAAGGAGTCACCAAACCTGGCCAGGGGGGTCTTAGGAACAAAGTTGTTGATAAATCTGAAGCCTTCGTGTTATATGTTTTATTCTTTGAAAGCTTATGGGGTACCCAAAGATTTCTTAAATAGGATAACAAAAGATCATAAAAGAAGTCACTGATCATAAAAGAATTAACCATCAAGGAAGCAAAGGCAATGATAGATTACATTTAGATTAATTTCCATCTATCAAAAGGCAAGAGAGAAAGAGAAAAGTTGAGTCACAAGTTTAAAAAAGATATGTGGGGGGGAAATGAGATATGTGGAATATACATATTGGACAAAGGACTTATCTCCAAGACATATAAAGAATCCCCACAAATTAATCATATAATAGATTTAGCAGGCACTTCATAAGCAAGGATATCCACATAACCAATAAATACATAAAGTAGTACTCAACTTCAATATTTATCATAAAATGCAATCAAAACTACAATGCAATGCTATTTTATCCACCGGAGTGATTAAAATGAGAAAGACAAATAACCACAGTGTTGGTAAGAATATGGGACAATTGTATTGTTTTCATGGCATGGAGTCCTCCCCGGGGCACAGTGAGCGAGGGTGAAAGCACTCACAGCTGGCTGACAGGGTTGGCAGGTTGAAGCCCTACCACAGGAGAATGACACGACCATGTTCTCCAGGACGGAGGACAGCTTTGGGAGCCACGAGGCAGTGCCACTCTGTCCTCAGGGCGGCAGAGCTGGAGCCCACTCAACAGCAACAGGAGTCTGTTGCGGGTAGCGCGACAGAACTAGCTCTATGCCCCCAGATATGTGTCCAGTATGCTTCTATACAATGAAACGTTCAGAGCAGTACTATTTATAGCAGCCCCAAACTGGAAGCAATGCCACATGTCCATCAACAGTAGAGAGATATAAATACTTTGTAATATATTCATAGAGTGAAATGTTATGGCGATGAAAGTAACCAAGCAGCTGCTATGTACACGTCACAAATATAACATTATGCCCAAGAAGCTAAGACACAAAACTGCATGATTTCACCTGTATCAAACCCCAAACAACAACCCACGGTGCTGAAAGTCAGCGTGACGGTAGTGATTGGGAGACAGCATCAGTTTATTGTAGGGGTTGCTAACGTATAGTCTGTGAAAGCAATGGAACGATACATTTAAGAGTTCTGTATTTTTCAGGATGCTGTGTTGTTGTTATTGAGACAACTGCATACTACATACTTAAAAAAAAAAAAGCGCTCCTAATCTAAACATAGACATCTTGACAGAAAATCCTCACTGCAAATGAGTTAAGAACACAAAAAGGCGCAGGCCTGTCTGGATAGGACAGGCTGGATGAACAATCTGGAGGAGAAAACAACGGGACTGACAGTTCCGGGGGGACATGGGAGAGGGGG